CCCTCCCTTGCATTTGTAAGGTGGTTCTCTCTACTGACCTACTGTTCCTTGTTTGTCCACAGTACTCCTACTGGCTCTTTAAAACTAGGTCATTCTCTCACACCTCTGGGAAACAGTAAAGAAGCTCACTCAGTTTAAAGTCAATTTCAGGGGTGCCTCGTCCTGTATTTCCCCAGGACATTGGGCATACTTTCATCCAGGCATTGCCACGTAGCATTCAAACTTCTGTTGTATGTCTCTGTCTCCCACTGCACGTCCAGCTCCTTGAGGAGAGAATATGTGTCTTTCATTTTTGTATTTGCAAGTCAAATGTGATACCTTGTGTGGGTTCTCAGTAAGTTGCTGCCAAATAAAGGGACTTTTGTCCTTTTCTATCACTTCTGGAAACTTTGCTCAAGGTTCTATTTTTCTTTTCTTTTCTTTTCTTTTCTTTTTTTTTTTCCTATAGGGCATGTGCATTTGCTAGAGAGAAAGCAAGCAAGAAAGCACCCTCAGTGGGAGATGGCCATGCTCAGTCCCTTCTCCATTCTCCTTTAGGGATTTTGGGCACACACATACTTGTACCTGCACGTTTCTCAAGCTGCCATGTCCAGGACTCTAACCATGCTGTTGGCCATATGGGGTCCAGCTGCCTTAAGCACAATGCCATCATCTGTCTCTTTCCTTATTTTTAGCTCCTCTTCTTTCTCCTAAGTCTTATTCATCTTAAAAACAAATAAGAAAACATTTCCTCCATTTTAAACACTTCATCTTAGCCCACCCTCATGAACAACCATTGTACAACCATTGCTTTAAACTCCTAACCTCCATTGATTCTTTAATGAAACTATATTTGACTTTTATTCCATCAATCCAATGAAATTGTTTTTATTAGTTGCTTCAAAATTGTGAAAGGCAGGCTTTGTCTTAAGCAATTCCTTTACAGGATTTCAAATTTTTGACCTTTCTCTTTTCCCTGAAAATCCTTATTAATTTGCTTTTGTGACATCATTTCCCTTGCTCTACATTATCTCTGAATATGGTTATCTAATCTAGCCTGGTTTTGCTCAAATACTGGTGTCCTAAAGAGCCCCTATTAATTCTTTTGTCGCCTTACTCTTACTGAGCAATATGATGTAATTCTACATATTTGACCACTGCCCATATAACCAAGTAACACAAATTTTCATCTCCAGAATTCTATTTCTATGTGTAATAACTTCTATGACTTCCTATACTCTCAAATTTTACATGCTAAAATTGGATTAAGTTTTATTCCTTAAACATGACTCCCTTCACCTTGTTTTTTAAGAGACCGAGTCTTACTATATTGCCCAGGCTGGGCTTGAACTCTTGATCTTGACTCAGCCTCCCAAGTAGCTGAGATTATAGAGGTATCCCATGACCCTGGCCAAACTTAGGCCCTTTTATTTTTCCTATTCTAGTGAGTTAGTGGTAGAGTCAGGGTGTTCTCTACTTACTAGATTGTCCAAGGACTCTATACTAGACTACCCAATAAATAAATGTCAAGGAATACATTATCCTCTATATTTATTCCAAGTTAGCTTTATATTAGTTATTTCTGCACTACAAATTACCACACATTTAGCAATTTAAAGTAGCACACATGTATTATCACGAAGTTTCTGTGGGTCAGGAATCCAAGTACGATTTAGCAGGATCCTCTGCTCAGTTTCACAGAACTGCAGTGTAAGTGTTGCTGAGGCTGGGATCTTATCTGAGGCTCAGAGTATTCTTCACATGATTACTGGCAAAACTGAGTTCTTTGAAACTGTAGAACTCGTGGCAGCTTGCTCATTCAAGGCCAATAAGAGAGTCTCCAATTTGTCCATTTTCAAAGGACTTATCTGACTAGAGCAGGATCACGCAGGCTGTCTCTTCAGTGAACTCGAAGTCAGTTGAGTTAGGGACCTCAACTGCATTTGCAAAGTCTCATCACCTTTGCCATATGATGTAACATGATAATGGGGAAGACCATTCCATTGCTCTTGCCATAGACGAAAATTACAGGTCTGACCCTGCTCACAGGGGAAGGATAATACCAGGGCGCGAGTCACTTGGTGTCAGTCTAGAATTCTGCCTGCAACGACTTAATTTAAAAGATACACCTGGGCAATGGCAAAGCCTCAGAAAGATTTGAATTTGAAAGTATTAAAAGGTTAAATACAAACATGGAAATATAGAACTATAGTTTAAAATCTTAAAGCTTAATGGAGAGGGCTCGTTTTGAAGATGGAGAAAATTTGTTTCTTTCGTTCATTCATTTGCTCATGTCTTTCTTTTTTAAACTTTTCTAGAAGGCTTGTGCATTTACTGGAGAGAGACAGAGAAAGAGGAAAGCAAGAAAGCTTCCCCTCGTGGACAATGGTCACGATGCAAACTCTTTTCCTCCATTTCTTCCTCCTTTTGGGAGTTTGGGCACACCTACATATGTGCCTGGCTTGTTTCTGAAGCCTCTGGGTTCAGGACTTACACTGTGCTGTCAGCCATGTGGTATCCAGCTGTCTCAACCACTAAGCTGCCAGCAGGTCTGAGAAAATGGTGTTCTATGCTTACATTTACTGCATTGGGCAGGAGATATATCCTAGCATCTAAACTTCAGAGTATGTTATACACACCTAAAAGAAATAATTAAATAAGTAATTTTGAAAGGCAGACATTAATTACAAAACTGGCTTAATCTGAAAATCATTTTACCATGTATTGGCTTCATTTGTATGACAAGGGGATAAATGTAATTTTATGTCCATAAGTAAGTTACATAGTTTTCCTTCTATGTAAGTTAACTCAGTTTTTAGGTTTTTCTTTTTCTTTGAATGCTATCCACAGCCTGTGATTTTCATCAGAAATGCCCATCCTTCCTCAGGATAGGTGGTTCGGGTACCATTTAATGTTGTTCTCTCATAGTCTTCCATGATGTGTCTACAGAGGCCTCTCGATCAGTGGCTTTTCCTTTTTTGGTCTCACACCTTCTGTGGGTATAGGATGAGCCCCTATTCCTTGTATGCATCAGACAGGTGTTCTGGTTTGGAGATAAAATCCATTAGGTTATGAAATTGACTAGGAATCCTGCCATTTCAGGCCCTTCTGCTTAGGGACACTTACTATTCCACTGGTATTTAGTAAGGAAAAAAAAAAAAAAAAAGACCTAACATGGTTTGGTGAATTTAGCTCCTTTTCTTGACATGTGTAATAGCAACACAATGCTTACTGTGTAGAGCGGCATGAGCCAGCGCGTAAATCCCTACAGATATGTGGTCACTTCTCTACTTTCTCTCTCCTTCGCTTGGGCAAGCGCCACGTTGATGCACTGGAGCCATTCTTCTGCATTCTTCTCGTCCTTGGCCTTGAACACATAGGTTTTATTGTCCGTGAAGATTTCAAAAGCTCGGGGGAGAGAGCGGTCCCTGCGTTTCCTGGCCACAGCTTTCACACTCTGTACTTTGCTGAGTTCTATCGGAGAATCGTCAGGATCATCTTTCTGAAAGGCACATGAAAAAAAGAACATGAGCCGGCTCCTACTGTGTACAAAGGTCTTTGGCTCCTGGAAGCTTTTCTAAGAGGGACAGGATCCTTTTGCTTTCTATGGTTCAAGACCTTTGTTTCATAATTACATTTGTATTATGCTTATGGATTTTCACAAACAATATAACTTTTAAAAAAGACAGCTTGGGACCAGCAGTTAGTATAAGGGCTATGTCACTGGACTCACATGTAGTCGACCACAGTTCAAGTCCCGGACCTGGTGGCTTAAACTCATGCCGGGCGCATGTGCGTGTGTGCCCAAGATCCCGAGAGAAGAATGGAGGAGAAGGGATTGCAGCGTGGCCATCCCTCCAGGGGGGTGATTTCTCCCTTTCTGTCTCTCTGTCTCTCTCTGTCTTCCTGGCGAGCACACATGCCCTATAGCAAAAACTTCTCAAAAAAAAAGACAGCTCATGGGAACCAGCAGTTAGCGTAATGGCTATGTCGCTGGACTCCCACGTAGTCGACTGCGGTTTGCGTTTGGACCCGGTGGCTTAAAACTCACGCCAGGCACGTGTGCGTGCGTGCCCAAGATCCCAAGAGGAGAATGGAGGAGAAGGGATTGCCATGTGACCATCCCCCCGAGGGGTGATTTCTCACTTTCTGTCTCTATGTCTGTCTCTGTCTGTCTGGCGAGCGCACGTGCCCTATAGCAAAAAAACCTCTCAAAAAAAAAAAAAAAAAAAAAAAGACAGCTCAATCCTAAAATAGTCTTAACACTTGGAGACCGATGGTCGCAAGAAATTAAAACAATTAAATTTCACTTTGTACCCATAGTTTCATTGCAGTGAAAACTGATAGGGCAAGCCGGGTACAATGTGGGAGAGAGAAAATATTATGACAAAGAAGAAAACAATGTATATATATTTCTATTAAAGATGAGCAAATTTATGTTTTCTTTTTTTAAATGGATGGTGTCAGATATCAGACTCTGTGACATTTTCTTCCAGTGGTTCATTGGAAGAAGAGATGTGATCTTTTGATTTCGTTATTTTGTTTTGATAGAGCTTGTGAATGTGTGTGAGAGAGACGCACAAAGAAGAGGCAGGGCCATACCCTAAACAAGGTCTCGACATACCACAGTCTCTTTCCCAGAGCCCTTCAGCTTGTCAGGGTCCCAGGGACGCATGCTGCACGCCTGGCATGTTTTCAGGCCTCCCTGAGGATCTGAACTCACCATCAACCACATGGCTTCCAACACTGCAGTTCAGTTTGCTACTGGCTATGTCGTCAGGCTAGGCCGGATTTTTTCATTTTAAAATTGCAGTATTATGATTCAATAGAAATTATAGTCTATGCTGCTCTTTAAACTCATGATAAAAAGTATGGATATAACTTAAAATGCTGCAAAGTATAGCACAGATTTTTTTCACATTCTCTTAGGGGCTATCCAGGATAAATTTGGAAGACATCTACACTAGGCAACACTTTATTAGCCTGCTTGGTTTACAGTAAGTGTCTGATTCAGTTAAGGGTTTGGCAAAATATTTTTCAGAGATAGCACAAAGGAAAATTTGATTTCATGTCTCCCATAGTATATGAAATTCTGAGTTAATAGTATTCCAAATTGTACTCCTGTATTTTGCTTCATTAATACAATGTTACTATCAGACACTTACTACAAACTAAGTTAGGCTAATGACCCATTGCCTAGTGTGGATATCTTCAAAATATTATCAATAACTTTTTTTTTTTGAGAAGCTTTTGCTAAAGGATACGTGCACTCACCAGAAAGACAGAGAGAGACAGAGAGACAGAAAGTGAGAAATCACCCCCTAGGGGGATGGCCACTCTGCAATCCCTTCTCCATTCTCCTCTCAGGATCTTGGGCATGCACACACATGTGCCTGGCGAGAGTTTAAGTCACCAGGTCAGGGACTCAAACTGTGGCCAACTACATGGGAGTCCAGCGACATAGCCATTATGCCAACTGCTGGCCCCAACATTGTATTTTTTTTTAGTTCCTCTAGAGTACAGAAAATGATATATGGAAGAACTAATGAAGAAAATAAGTTATTATAGTAATCTAAAAAGGTACAGCGAATCAACTGATTTAGAAATACAAAATTAAAGGACAATATTGCCTAGCTGGGTGGTTGGCGGAGATTAAGACCTTAAGAATGCAAAAATGGGCTAGCTTATGGCTTAGTGGTTACGTGAACTGGATCCACATGGAGTCCTAGAACTGGTAGCTTGAGAAACACTGGGTGCATGTGCGTATGTGCCCAAAAGCCCAAGGAAGGAGAAATGAAGGAGCAGGGATTATGGCATGACCATGCCCTATAGGGGGTATGTTCTCATTTCTCTTCCACTCTCTCTGTCTCTATCCTGTGAGCACACATACCCTCTGGCAAAAAAAAAAAAAAAAAAAAAGCAAAAGTGAAAAATTACACTATAGTCTTTCAGCCTCAATTCTCATTTTAAAATGCACATTTCTTTCATTTAAAAGAAAGGCTCTTTTACAATGTGGCTGAAACTTTAGCAGGACTGCTCACCACTGGTCCCTGGAGATTAGAGGTATTTTGCTGAGGCCATCATGCTAAATTTTATTATTTCTCATGATTTGAGCCACATCTTCTGTCGGATTTCTGGAATGTCAAACCATTATTTCCCAGTAAAGATGTCAAACAAGTTAACTAATTATAAAATAGTTTATTTTAAAAACTTTATTAAAAAGTCCTGGATCAAGAAGTATAAAGGTCATTATTTGAGTCAGAATAAAAATTCATATAGACTAACTCTGCTTTGTCTTAAGGGCTCTGAGAGATCACTCAGAGATATAAAGATATTCTTAATATCTTTAATAAAAAACAGAAATTTAAATGGTTAAACACTTTAAAAAATATTGCAGCATTAATCTACACTTCAAACAAAATAATGTATCTATAAACTTTCAACAACTGTCTAAATTGAACGTGCCATCTTTGGGTAAACCAATTGAACCTCAGTTTCCCCATCTGTAAATGGCAAGAATAATAATAATAGGATTGGGGACCAGTCGGTGGCATGGTGGTTAAGGCGCTGGACACTTCCACATGGCCAACCATGGTTCGAGTCCCAGACCTGGTGGCTTGCACTCGCTCGCTCTCTCTCTGTCTCTCTCTCTCTGTGTGTATGTGTGTGTCTCTCTGGTCAAATTAAAATAAAATGAACAAATAAATAAATGATTCTTTAAAGAAATAATAATAGGATAGTTCTGAGGATTGTAAGAGGCAACCTACAGTGGTGTATGATAAGCACTGAATAAATGATACCTGCTATGGTTATATTTTAAAAGAGACAAAAAGTAGGTCAAGATATCATTTCTCTGATCCTGAAAAGTAAGAGTTTATTAATAAATAAAACTGACTTGAAAAGAAGAGAATGATAACTTCTGCATTAGTGATTAGAGGTTTCCCACTGAAAATTCAGAATAAAGATATTTATTGAGCATTCTATTCAGACAGACATTTATACAAAATAAATATTTATTAATTCTATTCGTTAACTGAAAATAAATGTTAAATGAATGAAAGATAGAGACCAGTAGATGGTGTAATGGCTATGTCGCTGGACTCCCATGTAGTCAACTGCGGTTCGCGTCTCAGACCTGGAGGCTTAAACTCACACTGGGTGTGTGTGTGTGCGTGCCCAAGATCCCAAGAGGAGAATGGAGGAGAAGGGATTGCAGCGTGGCCATCCCCCCTGGGGGGTGATTTCTCGCTTTCTGTCTTCCTGTCTTTCTGGCAAGCGCATGCACCCTATAGCAAAAACCTCTCCCCCAAAATAAATAAATAAATAAAAGTATGAAAGATAATAGTATTTTTTCCTAATCAGAATCAAACTTTCTTGACCATAAAAGGTACTTAAAGTAGTTTTCTTCCTTCTACTCTGACTACTGTCCTTTTTCCTTAGACCACTAACCTCTAAATATAACTTACAGTTATAAAAAAGATCAAAGCCAATATCATAAGCCATAAATGTATATAACCAGTCTATTGGAGCAAAAGGCATGGTTTTTGGGTCAAGACCACTGAATAGTTCCTCTGCAATTTATCTTCCAAAACTTCAGTCAACTTAAAAAAAAAATTCCATAATAAGCCGAAAATGGACAGTCAACCAACCAACATAGGAATGAACTGAACAGACAGGGAGATGCATAATAAAGTGATACTGAGATTGTGAAATGAAGACAAGAAAATTGAAGGCAAAATGCCTAGCTGGTTTTGTGGCAATCAGGACTTTAAAAATGACAGAGGAACTCACAGATTTTCCTTTCTGAAACAGAAGTTGATTTCCAGCCAGTGTAAAATAACGGGTTTTCCACCTTTTGATGAATTTCCATCTGACTTGCTTCTCTTTAAGTTTCCCTTCTATGAGAGGCTGGCCATCTTGATTTATAACTGTTGAAGGTAACAGAATAATTAAGTCATTTATTTTCCATTATTTATTTGGCAAGAGTTCAAAAGTCCAAATTGTACAGTGAACCAAAACCCAGTAAGCTTATTTGGAAAGTGGGCTAATAAATTACAAATTTGGTTAACCTTTCCTCCTTTCTACCTGAAAGAATTCAACATTGGGATATGATAATGGGAAAGTGTTGAAAGGCCTCACTGAAATTTTCAAAATAATTTAGTTCACAGATGAACATCTGGTTGGCAGTGTTTAAGGTTTATCCAGGAGTCCAGCTTGCTGTGTTTCTTGACTTCTTTGTTTCATAGTATTCTGTTCCTTAGATTGAAATCACCAAATCGATTTAGAACAGTTTCAGATTTAAGCACAAAATATCTCGTATGCCAAAAACTTAATTTCCTACTATCAATTTTGCCAGTAACTAGGTAATAAAAAAACAATATTCCATGTTTTTATGATGCATGAACTGCTTAGAAATATAGCTTTATAAATAATCACAAACCATGCATATTTAGCTATTTGGCAGTAAAAGTCAATTGAATGCTCCAAAAGACATGTTTTTCTAAAGCCATAACACTAACCTGTAAAAGGGAACTCACTCAACTCCTTTGAAAACACTTTCTCCACTCACTGAAGCAGACCTACTCTCTCTGTTCTCTGCACACTCCTAAATTCACCTAGTCAACAACTGCTCATTTCATATTTCAACTTAACTGTTGGTTACTTCAGGAAACCTTCCCCAAATCCAGACAAGAGTAGCTTCCCCCATATGTTCTAATAGCACATGATATGTTTCTTCTGTTTTAGGTATCACCATGTGTAGCTACTAATTGGTGTTTATACGATTAATGTCTTTCTTTCTCATGAGACTGAAAGCTCCATGAGGGCAAGAACTTCACTCTGTTCATTGTTGAATTAGCAGCATCTAAAACATTGGCAACCAGTAGAGTCTATAAGCGTTCACTGAATGGATGCATTAATTTTACATCGAAGCAGTTTGATTATATGTAACCATAGAATTTGAAGATCCATTGTAATGTCAGAAGTTTAGATGTTGAACTGAGACACGCATTCCCCCCCCCCTTTTTTTTAAGAGAGATTTTTGTTATAGGGTATGTGCACTCACTGGAGAGACAGAGACACAGACAAGAAAGTGGGAAATCACTCCCCAGGGGAATTGGGCACGCTGAAATTCTTTCTCCTCCATTCTCCTCTTGGGATTTTGGGCATGCACCCACAGGTGCCTGCTGTGAGTTTCAAGCTGCCAGATCTGGTACTCAACCCACTGTTGGCCATATGGGAATCCACTTCCTTAACCACCACGACACCTGCTGGACTCCAGTCCTCCCTCTTTAAATTCTTATGAAAGCATATTATTTTCATGAAGAGAGGCAATGGAAAGTTTATTTTGGATAGCATAGTATTTACTAACATACACTTACTTAGGTTCAATTTTCTTAGTACCTTGAAAGTAATGCTATTAGTATTCAAAGTATTTCATTTCTTTGGAGGAAATCTGGACAGTCCCTGTTTAAACATATGACCACATCCTGCCCTTCCTATGCTTCTACTTCTTTTTTCTACTGTAGGTCAAATTACTATCCCAGACAGGCAAATTGTCTACCTTGACAGGCATTTTCAGTATATGAATAATGCCATGTATAGTTTTCATAAACAAAGTTCCATTAATGCTAGTTTGATCCCCCCCCCCTTCTTGTATGTTAATTCACTGTTTCATTGTCAACTTCAAATTGAGAATAAAACTGAAAATACAGGGACTACCAGGTGGTGTGGTTAAGGCCTTAGACTCAACATGGTCAACTACGGTTTGAGTCCTGGACCCGGTGGCTTGAAAATCATGCTGGGTACACGTGTGTGGATGCCCAAAATCCCAAGAAGAGAGTGGAAAAGAAGGGACTGTTATGTAGCCATCCTCTCCTGAGAGGTGATTTCTCACTTTATCTCTTATAGCTTTTCTCTGTCTCTCCAGTGAGTGCATGTGCTCTATAGAAAAAAAAAAAAAACTTAAAAAAAAAGAGAAAAGTAAACACACATTAAATATAGTCTTAGATAGTGACGAGGGCTATATGGAAAATAGAATGGGGAATTGAGTGACTTGAGGGTTTAGTGGGCAAGCATTTAAGTGGTCAGGAAAGAGCTTGGACATTTGAGGTGATATTTGATCTGAGACCTCAGTAATGAGAAACATCTCCCATCTTCTGGGAAGCTCCAAGGTGGCGAGGACCGCACAGAGAATAGGAAAAGCAGGAACTCAAGAAGTATTCATTGGCAATCTATATCAAGAAAATTACTTCAGTGTTCTGAAATGATTCCTGTTCAGTAATCATCTTAACTTAAAGCATTCTTTCTTTTTCTTTTTTAAAGTTTTTTTTTTTTCTTTAGTTAGTGAGAAAGAAGAGAGTGACAGAAGGACAGCACCCCCAACAGGGCCTTCAGGCCATGATCCACCCCCAGCCTCAGCCAGCTTGGATGATGGGCATATGCGTGCCCAGTGTACTAGGGAAGGTCTCTGGATGTGAAACTGGAACCTTTTCATATGAGTCAGCCTTGCAGAGCCTCAGATAACTGCTACATCTACATCTGGGCCCTATTAATCTTTTTTTTTTCTTTACTTTTTTTTTTTTTTTTTTTTAGTTTATTTGCCGGAGGGCATGCACACGTGCCAGAGAGAGACAGAAAGACAGAGAAAGGGAGAAGAAGAAAGCACTTTCAAAGGGACATGGTCATGGGCCACAATTTCGTCTCCTCCATTTCTCCATTCTGTTGGGATTTGGGGCACATCCGCACACATCTGGTGTGTTTTTCAAGCTGTCAGTGTCAGGATTTCAACTGCGTGGTTGCCCATGTGGGATCCAGCTTCCTTAACCACTAGGCAATGAGGTCAGCCCATCCTACCCCCAACATTCTTGAAGCTAGTAATACTCCGCAAATTTAAACTTTCATAAACACATGGTTGCTCTGTATAGTGTCTACACCTCTGCAGTTACCTCAGTTAACCCTTAAGACACTGCATCTTCCCCTGGGCTTCTCATTCTTGGGGAGCAGGGATAGCCTTAGCTAAGTGCCTGCCTGGATTAGGTGTTCAGAAAATGTTTATTAACAGTATGCTCCTGAATCTTAAGGGGTGCAGCAGCCTATTGGGCAGAGAAAGTAAGTTTTATGAAGAGATCCAAGAAGAATAAAAAGTTTAAAAAGTCAAAACAAACAATAACAAAAAAAACCCAAGCTAAAATTAGATTAAAAAATTATTTAGGGACCAGCAGTTAGCCTAATGGCTAGCTGAACTCCCATGTAGCTGACCACAGTTCAAGTCCCAGACCTGGTGGCTTAAACTCACGCTGGGTGCATGTGCATGCGTGCCCAAGATCCTGAGAGGAGAATGGAGAAGAAGGGATTGCAGCATGGCCATCTCCCGCCTGGGATGTCTCTTTCTGTCCTTCTGGCAAGCGCAAAACTTCTCAAAAAAAAATTGTTTTTAAACATTCATTTTCCATGTTTTCAAATTAGAAAAACTTGATAATCTAATTGTAATGTTCAAAAATTTTGATATGCGCTCTGTAGATTTAGATTTGAGTTCTCTCAACTACGGCTTTCTGATCAGTAGAGAAGATAGTAACAGCCTCCTGCTGCTTAATGGGATGTTAAGAGGTCAAAAATTGGGACCAGCAGTTAGCGTAATGGCTATGTCTCTGGACTCCCACGTAGTTGACCGTGGTTCGAGTCCTGGACCCGGTGGCTTAAAACTCATGCCGGGTGCGTGTGCATGCATGCCCAGGATCCTGAGAGGAGAACAGGGGGGGAGGGGAGAAGGGATTGCGGTGTGGCCATTCCCCCCTGGGGGGGTGACTTCTCGCTTTCTGTCTCTCTGGCTCTCTCTGTCTTTCTGGCTTGCGCACGCGCCCTAAAGCAAGAAAAACCTCTCAAAAAAAAAAAAAAAAAGGTCAAAAATTAAAAAAGAAAAAAAAATTTATGTGAAGACGCTAGGTAAAGAGCAAAACACTAAGCACTGCTCCCCTCGTTACTTTTATTGATAACTTCATGGTTTGTAATCACATTGCTTCCTTGCTGTGGTTTTAATGGTAAGATGATTTAATGTAATGCCATTTAATAATGGAATATTTTTCTGTCTCAGTCCTTCATATGTACACAAAGAAAGATTTGAAATAGTTATAATGTGTTGTTTTTGGTACTCTAAAGATAACTAGCATGTAAGACAATGCTCTAACGTGATAGGAAAGAAGGCATCATGAGACAAACTCAGCCATCGAATACATCCAAATTGTCACTTTCAAAGTTCCATGAAAGTTGATACTGAAATTAAATAGAGAAGTTACAAAACTTCTGGATTTGCATGGCTATGAGTGGCCGTACTGACTGGGTCTTCTCGGAGATCATTTAGACTTTCATGTTGGTATCTAGGATGGAAATTCAGTGAGCTCAGAAGGCAAGTGTCCATCAAAGGAGAACAACTGCTGGGAGTCATTTCTACTGACAGAAGAAAATCGCCTTACAGACAAGGCCTTTTCATACTGATATCATCTTCTACTTACCTTGGGATATAATAGACAGTACACTCTCACAACACAAATATTCTAAACCAAGTTCTCAAAAGGAATCATGGGGGCCAGCAGGTGACATGGTTAAGGCACTGGATTCCCACATGGCTGGCCACGGTTTGAGTCCTAGTCCTAGAGGTTTGCATTTTCACTTTTTCTCTCTGTCTCCCCCTGGTGACATGAAAAAATAATAATAAATAAAATTAAGTAAAAATAATTCTCAAAGAAAAAGGAATCATGGTAGGAGGTTGTCTGTAAAAAAATGCTTCCATTTTCTTTTAAAATGCAAGGAGGCTTCCTACTAACAATCACGTTCGAATTTTAAATATGTGGTGACTAAGAGAGGATCACACAGATGATGACTGATTTATCTAGGCAGACTCGAATGCCAAAACTCTAAGTTGTTTTTTGTAGGGCAGGGTAACAATGGCAACCCACGTGTCTGGAGGAACGAGAGTGAAAGTCATGACTGAGTTCTTCCCCCTGCTTTAAAAAAAGTGACTGAGTAAAGAGCCAGATGTGTTCCAGCACACTTCGACTGACTAACTCTTACTGTTACCATGTGCAGTTCCAGGACACAGGGGTGACTGGCAAGGGGGATGTGTTCAGTTTTCCAGAAATTAAGTTCTGTTCTATTAAATCTCCTTGCTCAATCTCTCTTCTCTCATTCATGTGGAGTAATGGTATCTGTAATACCACCACGAGACAAGTCTCCGAGGATTATTGAGTTATTTCAGCAATTTTCTAATCTCCTGCTCTGTACTTTTATAAAATAATTATTAGAAACTGAATCAGCAATTGGAAAGACTGGAAATAACTTCTACTGTCATCATTTCCACACGTAGTAATTTCCCACACGTTATCTTACCGAAGTCCCTGTTCTTTCAGTAGAATAAGTCATCAAGGAGGAAGATCACTTCTAGAACATTAGATTTGGTTTTAGATCTTTACAATATACTGGAACAGTATAAATACTTGTTCTTGGAGTTTCCAATAGCCCATGTCCTTAACTTGAAATTGCCCTAGAGATTAAATTTCAGGTTCTGTAATCAGAATGGATTAAAAACCTGGTTCTATCATGAGTAGCTGTGTGACCTTGAGAAAATCACTTTATAGTTCTGTGTTTTAGCTTTCTGATCTATAAAGTAGATTTCATAATGATCAGAAAATGAGGAAGATAAATATAAAGCTTAGCATATAGTTGGAATGATAAATGCTAGCAACTGTATTAATTTCAGAGCTTCTAGGCTTTTCTAGCATTGTTCCACTGACATTGTATGCTTTTAATTAGATTAAAAAAGTATTTTTTCGGGAACCAGCAGTTAGCGTAATGGCTATGTCGCTGGACTCCCACATAGTCGACCGCGGTTCGTGTCCCGGACCCGGTGGCTTAAAACTCATGCCAGGCACGTGTGCGTGCGTGCCCAAGATCCCGAGAGGAGAATGGAGGAGAAGGGATTGCGGCGTGACCATCCCCCCTGGGGGGTGATTTCTCGCTTTCTGTCTCTATGTCTCTCTCTGTCTGTCTGGCGAGCGCACGCGCCCTACAGTGAAAATCTCTCCAAAAAAAAAAAAAGTATTTTTTTATTATCAGATACTAACCGTCCATGAATTTCCATGTGTTGATGGTGAGGTTGGGAAAAGGTGGTGCTGAGATTTTTGCCTGAAGAGAGGAATATACGTAAAGTGACCTAAACAAGTCAGCAGATGGGCTGTCGATTTCTGAAGACATTCCATGGCTTAGTCTACACAATGTTAAGAAGGATTTTCTATTTCTGGATGTCTTTCCTTATGTCTAATAGAAATTTTCTGATTGCCTCACATTATGGTCATCATTATGGAGGTGCAGGCTAACATATGTGTATATTTTTACATACTAGAGCATTGAAGACTTAAATAATTACTCTATCATTGGTCAATCTCTTTCTAATCTCTTTGTCCTAGGCATCATCATTTCTTCAGGCCCCTTGTCCCTGAAACTAACTGGGAACCTGGCACTGGTGGGGGCCCTGATGAAACCCAGCACTGTATACAGTGCACAGGTGGGGACCGGACTTCGGTGCCCAGGTGCTTAGACAGGCAGGAAAGCAGGTCCACTGCTTCACATGTGGTGACTCCTCTTGGAGGAAATAGCACCAGCTTCCATGTACCACAGTCAAAATGCACTGGAGGCCGGCTCCGTGGTGCAGTGGTCAGGCCATGCTGGATCCATGTGGACGATCGTGGGTTGCCTTCTAATTCTGACTGGCCAGGAAAGATGGGGCGAAGTGAGGATCATGGAGAGACTCTGCTGAGGGTGTCTTTCTTTCGGACTCTCATTCTCATGAAAGAAAGACAACTTTGAAAAAAGAAGCACTCGGTATGGTGAAGTGATGTAGTTGACATGGTTGGCATGGCGTCACAATCACTGAAACCCCCCAGTTGAATATTCAAGGCATATTTGACTTGGCCATTTCTACATATTAGTCATTTACTTCATGGTATTTATTGCATGCTACAAACATACTTCCTTGTATGTTTTGGTATGTAAATGTGTATGCATGTACATTTTATCATACATGCCTTTTGGCCCTGAGTGGATTATGAATTTATTCAGAGAAAAACATTATACCATACTTATATTTATATCCCAGGGGTCATCCTGTAAAAGCTACTCAACCAATGTGACAAACGTGTACTCAAACATGACGAGTGGCGTGTAAGTTCTATCCTAGCTGCACGTGTTGCTAACAATAAAATATTTACTCCTCTATCTTGAACTTGGAATTTAAACAGAATATGGATGCAAATACCATCTCCATGAATAACGTATTTGGCAGCCGTAATGTTCGACTTTTCACTTATGTGAAATATATAGTTTATATGCGCAGATAAAAATAAGAAGGTGAAATTAACAACCTATGTAAGCTCTGCACGGAGTAAGGACTTTGTGTGAAAATAACATTTACAATAGGATTTCTCTCAGACTCAAATTCCCTCTCCTGTGGCAAAAGGAAATGAGCAAAGAAATCTAAACATACTAAAGTTTTCAGGGCCCGACATTTTGATTCAATATGTTCTGCTATAAAATATTTGGCCTTGTTTGAATTTTTATGGCTATATGTTCTCAGTCTATATTTAACTGTGAGAAACAGAAATAAGAAAGAGTGAATGTGCAAAATGTTCTTTTCAAGTGCGTGGCAGCAAATTTGAGAAAACGTATATGAAGGGAACACTGTGTGTTTTGAACCTTCAGCCCCTTTTCTGAGGCCTACCTTGGCCAGATACGATTAAATATTTATTGAACTAAGGACTCAGCTTACTTGGAGTGCAAACTCTTAAAGGCCTCTCAGAGCTACATAAGATAAGTACCTTATTTCACCACACTCTCAAATAAAGTTCCTTTTATGCTCTTTTTCATATGTGAAATAAGGTCTCATTAGAAAGTTTTATAACGGAGACATTCTATTCCCCCATTCCTTATTTGCTTCAATTAACTTTTTAAAAATTGGGGTGTTCGCTCTGGCATCAGCTCAATCCAGATTCCGTAATCAGCCAACAATCTGTGCCTCACAGAAGCTGGCATCCCTAACTGCCAGCTTCTTCCATCCACACCTTTTCCACGGGGTAATACATTTTAATTGGTACCTCTCCGTGAGTCCCTCACATCTCCATCTGGCCAAATAAACACACTTTTTCAATGCAGCCTGAACATGTTGGCAGTTAACGAGAGGATAGACTTTCTACAATGGATCATTTTTTAAGGTGCACAAAATCCTAAAAGGAAAGGATTGGGTGCAGGTGGCATAATCAGGGACTTTCTAGAAAATGGTTCATCTACATGCGGACTTTGTGTTCAGCAGTTTCAACACTGCTCCCTTAGTCTAAACTGCAGCTCTTAGGCAGTGTCAACACTGAGAGCTCTCTCCTTTCATTCAAACAAGTGATGAAATATTTGGTTCCACGGACAGCATCACCTTGTGGAGAAAGGTTTGCCGTCAATGTATTCCCACTGGTCAGAATGCACCAAGTGTAAGCAGGAGGCAGAATGGTGAAATGGCTACAAGCGTGGCCTCTGGAGTCAAACTGGGCTCAAATCTTGCAAATATTAATTTATTGTCCACGGGACCATGGGCAGTTATCAAACCTCTCTGTGCTTCATTTTCCCTATCAGCAAAACAGAGATGATATCAGTACTTACCCTATCCGATTATTGGAAAGATTGGTTTAAATGGGATAAAGTGACTGACATGCTTAGCATCAGGCTTGGCTCACATTTGCTAACGATTATTGCTTTTAGGCAGAAAGACAGAGAGAGACAGAGAGACAGAAAGCGAGAAATCACCCCCCAAGGGGGATGGCCACACCGCAATCCCTTCTTCTCCATTCTCCTCTCGGGATCTTGGGAACACACACACATGTGCCCAGCGTGAGTGTAAGCCACCAGATCTGGGACTTGAACCACAGTTGACTACATGGGAGTCCAGCGACATAGCCTTTACACCAACTACTGGTCCCAACAATGATTGCTTTTAGGCAAGATCAGTAGGCCAAATTCCTTGGGCAGCACAAAAGGGGAAGGGTGAATAATCACCTATGAGGTTATTCCTGAAATAATAATTCCCTCCCTTGTAAATGTTTCACTTCTTATGCAGTTCACTTATCAAGCCACAGTGTAAGGGATAGTTAATGGGGACATGTTACAGTCTGTGTGCCCATTCACTTATGTAGCACGGTCTCATTTTTTTGAAGGGAAAATGGCTGACACTTCTTTCATCATAACACACACAGGTAAGGGTTGCACACGTCTGGTTCCATGTTTCTCTCCCTCCCAACATCTCCCCTCGGTTTCCTGACCACTTTGGTAGCTGCCTCTCTCAGCGCGAGCGAAGGCAGTCAGGCCCAACTCTGTCTTACTGCAGCTTAGGATGTTTGCACACGAGGAAAGCCAACTAGAATGGAGGGGCTCAGAGATCCCTGTGAACTCAAGCGGCACACATGGTTCTCAGCAGCAAAAGGGGGACTCTCACCGGTAGCCTTTTCAGGATTGTTGCACATGAAGCATTGCCATGCTCCTGCTGCTTCGCTGAAGCCAAACACGTCGAAGAACCTCACTTCTTCCAGATGGAGCTGTACCTGGTCCAGATCCTGTTTCAGGAACACACAGCACAAAGAACATAGCTGATCTGACTGATACGGAGCATTCTAAAACCAGAAAAGGGGCACAGGGAATCAGGACGGATGATGTTCAATCTCAGTGGAAGGCGCTAAGAGGGAGCATGGGAAAAAGTTCTCCTGGCTGTCTTTACAAAAAAGCGGTAAGCTCACTCCTCCATGGGAGTATTCTGAAATGCAAGGGAGAGAACACAGGCCCCAGGGCTGGGTGTCGGGGGTAAGGGTGTGAGAGCCTGAAATGGCCCAGACTTTTCTTGCACCTTGTAGCAACTTCTGAATTTCTAAAAAGGAGGTCTTTTCAAGTTGAAAGAAGTGCTGCTGGGGACTTGTCTTTTATTTACATTGTATATAAAATTGAGAACCGATTATTCATATTAAGATATTATTTTTATCAGATTCACTTTGCAGGGGGTGTTGGAACATATGGAGGTGGGCTTAATCTCCCAGCCCTTGACTCCAGCCATTTCAGTTTTAAGCTTTATCTTCCAAGTGTATGTAAATCTTACATTTTATTCCATATTATAGTTGTATTAGTTTTCATGGAAAACCCTGCCTTGAATTATTTATCAATAAATTAGCTAAGTTCTTTTCTTCCAAGCGGTTGAGTGGAATTGACACACCGAGAAAACTATTCATGTCTCACCTGCCCTATGGCACCCTGCCAATGTACTCCTGCTTAAGAGGCAGAGGAGAGCTGTTCCATTAGACTGCAAATGGATGGAAAACTATTAGCCTAACCAAATTAAATAGCTACTTTCCTCCTGAGGCTTTCTTATTATGTAAATGACTTGTATCCTTTGTTACTGGGTGACCAGAACTGCACTCTTAAAAGGTTGCTCCTCCTCAGAGGGACTTAATGTTCTTGCTAGCTTTGCATGTGTTCAGCTGACTTCAGTGTTTGTCCGCATGGAGCTGAGGTTTTACTTCCTTTTGCCTGGCCCACACACTCTTACCTTAACCTATGTAACATTTCTTAGTATTTCCAAGCGCGAGGTAATGTAGGTACTGTTAAGCCCTGCTTATAGTGGATGTTAACAGGGAGTGATCAAGGTGCTACCCAGATCCTCTCCCAAAGCTCCTGATCCCCCATTCTACATTTCTTGACAGAACAGAGATAAGAAGTATACTAGACTGTAAGCTCCCAAGAGCAGGGACAGATGGGCTTTGTTCATCGTATCTCCAGAGTCTAGTCCAGCATCGGGAATGGATTAACATCACTGGTTTGCACGCCCATTGCATTGTTTTCCAGTGAACTATATGAAAGTTCTTAAAAAAAATTTAAAAACAAACAAACAAACAAAAACAACAACCAAACAAAAAAAAAAACTACAGGGAATTTTTTTTTTTCTTTCTTTCTTTTTTTTTTTTTTTTAAGAGAGATTTTTATGATAGGGCTTGTGTACTTACCAGAGAGACAGAGAAAGCAAGAAATCAACCCCCAGGAGAGTATGGCCACACTGCAATCCCTCCTCCTCCACTCTTCTCTATATTTTGAGGATACACACACACATGAGTTTCAAGACTCTCGGTCTGGGACTCAAACTGCAGTTGGCTATGTGGGAATCCAGTGCCTCAACCACTAGGTTACCCACTGGCACTTAAAAAAATCCATTTAAAAAATATTTATACTAACTAGAACATAAACTCAGGGGCCTGCAGGTGGCAGGGTGGTTAAGTTGCTGGACTCCCACATGGCTGACCACAGTTCAAGTCTCAGAACTGGTGGCTTGCTTTCTCACTTTCCCTCCCTCTCTCACTCTCTATTTTTCTCTGGTGAGCATATGTACCCTATAGCAAATTAAGTACTACTACTACTATTACTACTACTACTAAGACATAAAATTAAATAAAATTTTTGAAGAAAAATAGGATGTAAATACAATGAGGTCAGAGATTTTTTTCTGTTGTGTTGGCTACTGTAACCTCAGCACCTGAAAGTGCCTGCCACGTAGCATTAACTAAATACTTCTGAAATAATAAAAGGCATAAACTAGGAGTAGAAATGAACACTTTTCAGTATTCTTTATTAAGACTATTATGGCTTATGTTCTGGGATTGGACATTGTGGAGTCTCAGCATGCTGAATACAGCATTTTGGGTTGCTAACATTTAATACCATATCACAGGCATTCCAATAGGCCCTGTAAATAGGAATGTTGTTGTAACAAAAGGGATTTCAAATGGGAAAAAGGAGACATTTTTTTTTTAAAGGTATTTTTCCCCAAGATAAAGCCTGAAGAAGCACCTGAGAGCTTCGTAGGATTCAAAGGACAAAATCCATATTAAAATTTATGGGGAAAAAGCAGATGTTCATAAATATCAGTTTCAAAACCAGTAACTCTCTGAAGTCTGTCCTTAGCCATCGGTATGCAGTTCACTTCTCTGTCTCCTACACAATTAAAGATCAATTTTTCATTCACCACAAATGCTACCGGCAAACAGAGTACTTAAAATAATTCTTAGGGGCTCCTTTATTCTTTTTGTTCGGAGACCAGATATGTCCCAGGTTGTTGCCTATAATCCACATTCGTCTTGGCAAAAAGTTACTTTAAAAGTTCAAGACAGATGGTAAGTTACATCCCAGTGTTCAAGTTCTGAAGCCAAAAGCAGGCTTCATTCTTCAGAGGATTCAGGTGTTATGTAAAGGGAACTGAGTAGAGAAGATAGATAATAGCTCCACGAGCCATTGAAGTTGGCACTGACAGCCAACTTGGAATAGAGACAGATGAAACACACATAGTTTCAAATATTTGTGGGAATTCAAAGTAAAATAAATCACAAAATAAGTAAACACAAATCAACCACTTAATCACATCTAAATGTTTGGAGTTTTGAACTCTTTTGTTGTTGTTTTTAAGCGATTTTTACTATAGAGCATGTGCACTCACTGGAGAGATAGAGAGACAGAAAGTGAGAAGTCACTCCCTGGAGGAATTGCCGTGCTGCAATCTTTTCTCCTCCAGTCTGTTCTTGGGATTTTGTGCACTCAAGCACATGCACCTGATGTGAGTTTCACACTGCCAGCTCCAGGACTTGAACCACTGTCGACTATGTGAGAGTCCAGCAACGTAACTATTACGTCATCTGCTGGTCCCAAGTTTTGAGCTTTTAAATGTGTTTAAGGTCATTATTTCTTTTTCTTATTTACCTTTTTGGGTTCTACAGCTTCCATAGGCTTTGCCCAAGAATTGCTCTATAGCTTTTATTTAAAACAAAACAAAACAAAACAAAACAAAAAACAAACAAACAAAAATACACAAGAAAACTAAAACCAGTTTGTTTAGAGAATTACAAAGTTCTTTTAAGACAACTAGTCTCCAGAAGAGTGAGAAAAATAATTCACATCGAATCCTAAATCAATCCTTAAGTGTTTCAGTTTGAATGATTATGGCAGACAGGCCTAGGGTGACCTCCCAATCATTTCCACTGCTCATCTGTTTGTATAACCCTCTCCCTTTGAGTGTTGGAGAAACCAATAACCTGCTTCTCACCAAGAAAATGGCAAAGGTGATGGAATGTCATTTCCATGATTATACACACACACACGCACCTGTACATGCACATGCAGATACATATGTAAGACTTGTCTTGCTAGTAGAAGTTTAGGGAGACTCTTCTGCCAGCCTTGGAAAAGCAGGTTGCCATGTTATGAACTGCAGGTAACTATGTTTGGCTCTAGAATGTAAAGGTGACCTCCAGTCAATAACCAGAAAGAGTGCAAGGCCTTTAGTCTCACCACTGTAAAGAAATTATTCCTGCCAACAGCTTCAGTGAGTTTGAAAGCAGATCTTCCCCATTTGACGTTCCAAATGAGAGAAAGTCCAATCAATATTGTGATTGCAACCTTGTGAGATCCTGAGCAGACCCAGACAAGTCATCATTGGAGTCCTGACCCACTAAAATGGTGAGATAATAAATATGTGTTGTTTTAAGTCTCTACTTTGTAGTAGTTTCTTTTATAGCTTTGAAAATTAATATGAAGATTGTGTCATAAAGAGAGGACAGTGATATCCTGTTGGCCAATTCTCAATGAAAATGATTCTATTTAGAAAAGTTACATTCCTCCAAATACACACCAAACTAGGCCTCACCTCAAAAAAACTTGATAAATATTGAAGTTTAACTTATTGACATTTGTGCCAAGACTCTCTCTCCCTATACATATGAATATATACACATGTATGTATCTATTCATGGTAAGTAAGCACTAAGAAAAAAATTCTTGACAAGCATCATTTAATTTAAAAAGGTTAAAGAGGAAAATGGTCTTTTTTAAGCAGTTCGTTAAATGGGTGTTTCTTCATTTTTTTTTTTTTTAAAAAGAACACTGATGAGATAAGAATTTGGAAAACGATACCAAAATCTTTTGGAAATCCTCTTAGGGGAAAAGTAAGTCAGGAAGCATGGAAAGATGAGGATACTTACAACGTTATTTTGCTGACAAATGACAGCATGAGTCAATACGATGGGTTCTGTAAAAGTGCACAGTGACCTTTAGGTCTTCGAATGCGGGCTATGTACCGCAAGAGGGACCGTGAAGCAATTTTCCAGAAATCAGTGAAAACATACATCGGAAAGAACTTTGAATTCTGGCACATAGGAATTCTGTGTTTGAAATCCGCTCTATTTTGTTTCGAAAAACAAAACAAAGCATGTCGACACCAAGTTTTTTCTTAGGGAAATATTACAGAAATGAATTAAATGACAAAGGTGAGACTTAGAAATAAGAATTTTCCTGCCTCCTGGCATAGTTTAAAGAACATGAGTTTTGGAGCCAGATCAGAGTCTGAGCCCTGCAGCTGTCGTTCACTAGCAGTTCTTAGGAAAATATCTTAATTTCTTGGTGCGTCCATGTGAGCTCCTCAAACTGGAAAATGACTATGATCCTCAAACTGTCTCCTTTAGGGAGCTGTGGCTCCGATCAAGGGTGATCACATTACTTTGTACACTGTAGAGACATAATACAAAGTCAT